GTGATGACTCATGCCTGTAATCTCAGTACTCTGGGAGGCCAGGGCAGAAGGACTGATTGAGATCAGGAGTTTGAGACCAGCCCGGGCAACATAGCGAGACCCTGTTCCTACCAACTACAACAACAAAAAAATAAGCTGGGTGTGGTGACCTGCGCCGGTAGTCACTGCTACTCCAGAGGCTAAGGCAGGAGAATCACTTGAGGCCAGGAGTTAGAGGCTACAGTGAGCTATGACTGCATACCACCGTGTTTCAGGCTGGGTAACAGAGCAAGATCCCATCTCTAAAATAAATAAATAATGAAGAAAGAAAAAAGAAAACCCATGGACAGATTTATTCCACTGAAATGGGCTCCAATTAAGTAGTATATTTAATTGCAATAGTTGCTGAGAATACTCCTGTACAGAGAGAAACTGTTAGTATTGCCTGATTGTTTTATGTTACAAAGTAATTTCCATACCACTAGTAGTTCTAAAAATTCGAGTCAGTTGGTTCTTGGGAATTTGAAACACAATGTACTTCATATGTACATTGTTAATAAACCCACACTGGTCCAAAAAGTTGATTTAACTCCAAATGGACTGAAACACAGTAACAGCCTGAATACAGGGTTAAGAGAAAAACGTTTCTCCCAGTTTGAAATATACAATTTCTGAACTGGCCATTTTTCTTAGGGTACCTTCTCTCTATGCCTTCCTACATCCCTTTCCCAAGTGAGCCTCTGCTTAGCTCTAGGGAAGAATACCAAGTTCTGCAACAAGCACCTGCAGGCTATTCCAGCCTCTCAAAGGTCTTGTGTCCTAAAATTATGGCTTTTCTGCCCTGGCCTGTGATCACTTCCCTTCCTCGGGGCATCCCAGCGCTGGCAGGAAAGCTGTGCACATGCTTGTGTGAATCACAGGAAGCCCTTCCGTGGGATGAGTGCCAGGGTAGGGGTCTCTCAGGTCAGCAGCGAGGCCCACACCAAAGCCCCGCCCAGAGAACCAAAACAGGAGGGACCATCTGCTCAACTGAGGGGCTTCTCCGGATCTTACACATAACAAGTGACCTAGCCCCGAGAGAGCAGGGGGGAGGTGACAGGACAGCCTGGAGTTGCGGACCAGTGGGCTCCGGTCAGAGAGCACACCCACCCTGAGCTGCGGAGAGGTCGGGGGGGAGGGGGGGTGGGTCCAGAATTCGCACTACCTTGGTCTTTCCGGGGTAGCTCGGCAACCCTCCTCTGCCTGGACCACTCCTTCCTATCCCATAAAACACGCACAAAGTGGGAAACGACACTTTCCTGAGTTCTATTTTTCAATTAAAGCCTCTGGAAGGGGACGTGCCCGCCGTCTAAGTGTCCCAGCCGACCCCGGTGGCCGCGGCAGCAGCAAGGCCGCTCCGGTGAGCGCACGTGGCCCACG